TCGACGGCTGACGAGGATATCTGGGAGCAGGTTAAGAAAAGGAATCAAAAGCGAAATGAATCAGTTGCTATTCTCATTGCTCATATGGAAGCACTCTTTAGTAGACTTTCTCAAAGTCCTGCTGAAGTTACTGAAGTAAAGTACATGCGGCAAAATCTTTTGCCTGAATTTATAAGTCAATTAGCTCTTGTTGACATCGCTACAGTTTCTTCATTTTCTGGCTACTGTCGAAAATAAGAAGCAAATTTTATTGAGAATGAAAATAATCCTGCTAGTCGAGTTTCCGAAATTTCATCACAAAACTTTGGCTATAGAAACCCTGGAGATGGACGAAATTCATATCAGCAAAACAATTTGAGGAGAACATTCAATAATTCCAGATACAATAATAATAATAGTCATCAGTCACGCAATTCCTCCAATTCATTTCAACATAATAAATTTCGAAATAAAAATTCTAATTCCTATCAAAATAATAGAGAAAGAAATTATCCTTCCACTTCTTCCCAACATAACAGAGAACGAAATGATAGTTCTACCAATTCATTTCAGCATAACAGGGAACGGAACAATCTATCAACTTCTCAGAATATCAGTGAACCAAGTCCATCAGGGACATCTGATCATAGTAGTAATATCATTATTTGTTGGAATTGTGGACTCCAAAATCACTTGTTTCAATATTGTAAAGCAAAGAGAAAAATGTTCTGCTATAAATGTGGTTTGACAGGCGTCAAATCAATATCATGTCCAGTCTGTACTCATAAATCAAAAAACTAGCCAGCAGGAGTTTGTGTGGTGACCAACAAAATCCTCCCTGTAATCGGGTCACATTTTGTAGGGAAAATAGAAATCCAATACGAAATTTTGAAAATATAGTTGACTTAGTACAAGAAAATAATTCTAATTCAAATCTCAATACTTTCCCTGACGTTAGTGAACCTCTTAATTCCAGTAAATCTCATTCTAATAATTTGTTGAATGAACATGATAAAAGTAGTACTTCTTCAACTTCTTCTGAGAATACTACAAATAAAAATTGCAATGTTCCACCTGTATTCGTGGACAGACCTTTAGACAATCGCCCGTACATCAAAGTAAAACTTCTTGATCAGGATATAACAGTTTTGCTTGATAGTGGAGCAAACGCTTCAATTGTTGGCGCTAAAGGTTTAGATATTTTGAAAAGATTTAAATTAAAAATTAATCCGATTTCTCACAAACACGTATGTACTGCGGATGGTACGCAGAAAAATATTAAAGGAGTGGTAGATTTACCAATTGTCTTTGAAAATGTTTGTCAAATTTTGAATACTTTAGTTGTGCCATCTTTGCCTCACGCTTTCATCTTCGGTGTCGATTTTGCTAGACAATTCAATAAAAAACTTGATTTTAAAAATGATTTTTGGCAAATTCAATCTGGATGTACCAACATCGATATAGTGGAAGATTATGATGAGCCTGTAGTGATGCCAACACTACAGACCTTAGATGATTTGACCCCTGAAGAACGAGCACAGGCAGAAGATGTTGTCAAATGCTTTGATGAAATTGACAGTAAAAACAAACTAGGACGAACAAATAAAATTACTTTGACTATTGACACAGGTGATGCCCCACCATTTAGGAAGAGACCTTTTGTTCTTTCTCCGTACATGCAGCAAATTTTGAATAAAGAACTTGATGAAATGTTGTAATTAAATGTGATTGAACCATCGGAAAGTCCATATTGTTCACCAGTACTTCTTGTTAAGAAGAAAAATGATGAGTATCGCTTTTGTTTCGACGGACGACCACTTAATGCTATTACGAAACATGATAGTTACCCGCTACCTAACGTGGAGAGAATCCTTGCTTCACTAAGAGATGCAAGATATATATCATCTATTGATTTGAGAAAGGCATTTTGGCAGGTGCCACTTGACCCTGATTCAAGAGAAAAAACGGCTTTTAGCGTTATAGGCAGAGGTCAATTTCAGTTTGTTACGATGCCGTTTGGGCTTTTGAATGCTGCGCAAACGCAACAACGCTTGGTTGATGCTATTTTTGGACCCAAGTATGAGCCAAAAATATTTTCTTACATGGACGATATAATTGTTACTGGTTCAACCTTTGAGGAGCATCTTAGTTTGTTGAGAATCGTCAAAGAAAAATTGCAGGAAGCTTATTTAACTATCAACCTTGAAAAATGCCAATTTTTCAAAACCAGTTTGAAATTCTTAGGGTTTGTCGTGGGTTCGAATTCTCTTCGCACTGATCCAGACAAAATAGCTAGCATGGTGAACTATCCTCGTCCGAGAACGACAACGCAAATCAAACGATTCGTTGGACTATGTTCTTGGTACCGTCGATTCATTAAGAATTTTTCTACCGTGTTATCTCCCATTGATGAACTTTCAAAAGGCCGAAAGAAGAATCAAAATATCATCTGGAACGAAGCAGCAGAAGCTTCATTTGTTAAAATTAAACAACTATTAGTCTCTTCACCAATATTATCCCAACCAGATTTCAATAAAAAATTCACGATCCAAAGTGACGCTTCTAATACAGGATTAGGGGGGATTTTAACACAGGATATAGATGGGGATGAGCGAGTAATTGCATATGCCAGTCGTTCATTGTCAAAATCTGAGAGAAATTATTCAACGGTAGAGAAAGAATTACTAGGCTTACTTTTCTGTTCATTATTCCAAATTTTTTGGGATTTTCTCTCCTCGTTTCTATAAAATAAAATATGAATATTATTTCAATATACGTGTAGTAAGGACAAATCAGATGATTTGCCCCAAAATGTCACTGCGTTTAAAGAATTTTCCTATCAGAGAGCCTAAAAGAAAAATTCACTAGCTTGTCAGTGACAGTTTGTATTGAAAAATTTTTGGAGAATAAAGGTATATAGAAAAAATATCAAATTTTCACTTATAACAACCAAAAGAGAAAAATCAAGGAATCTGCTTGCATTCTTCTGAACGGAGACAATAGCATTGCTTCTTGTTCAGTTGATATAGACAGCACATGGTATTCACTACTAAAATCTGAACATGAAAATGGTAAATTCAAGATTGACTAATGAAAACATCCTGTAACTCCTTTGATTGCCAACGTCACCAATTGTCATTGAAAACTGAAAAGCTTCAAGACATATTATACGACTTCGCAATTGAAAAAATCTCTTTATGTTGAAAACGGGAGCAGAATCGGTCCCGAAACGTCCAAAGATAAGTGAAAATTTGATATTTTTTCTATAAACCTTTATTTCTCTTCTCCAAAAATTTTTCAATACAAACTGTCACTGACAAGCTAGTGAATTTTTCTTTTAGGCTCTCTGATAGGAAAATTCTTTAAACGCAGTGACATTTTGGGGCAAATCATCTGATTTGTCCTTACTACACGTATACTGAAATAATATTCATATTTTATTTTATAAAAACGAGGAGAGAAAATCCCAAAAAATTTGGAATAATGAATGTGCCACCTCCTCGATTAACATACAGACAGTATTTACTTTTCTGTATTGAAAAATTTAGACCATACATAGAAGAAACTGAGTTTACGGCAATTGTTGATCATTATTCTTTGCTTTGGTTGAACAATCTTCAGAACCCTTCCGGTAAACTTCAAAGATGGGCTGTTAAGTTACGCCAACATTCATTCGATTTGATATACAGAGAAGGCAGTAGTAATGTTGTTCCCGATGCACTTTCTAGAATTATTCCTGAAAATGAAGTCAGTGAAGACAGTGTAGATCATTTAGAAATCGCATATTTTGACATAGATACTGACAGAATCGATAAATGGTATGATAACATGAGAACTAAAATTAACAGTAGTCCCGATAATTTCCCACAATGGAAGGTCGAAAATGATTTTGTATACAAGTATGTACCATCTAACTTACCTATGAAGTCAAACATCCCAGTTTGGAAGTATTTAGTACCAAAACCTCAGAGATCAGATGTTATAAAATCATGTCACGACCCGCCACTGTGTGGTCATTTTGGTTTCTTCAAAACTTTACATCGTATTCAGGAAAATTTCTATTGGCCAAAAATGCGCCATGACATACTCAAATATGTTAAATCATGTAAAGTATGTGGTGCTCAGAAAATGCCTAACACTGGTCGAATGGGACAAATGGGAAAAGAAAAAGTAGTGAATTGGCCATTCCAAGTTATCGGTTTGGATTTAATAGGACCTATACCTACCTAACCTATTCTAGAGTCATACTTACCTATTATTGGCCTAAAATGCGGCAAAATATTAACCAGTATGTGAAATCTTGTGAAATGTGAGCATCACAAAAGTCACCAAACCACGCCAAATTTGGGTTGATGGGTTCACAGCGTAGTGTTAGGTTTCCATGGCAGGTTATTGCAATGGATTTGATGGGCCTACTTCCCTGGAGTTCCAACAGTCATCAAAACATATTAGTCGTCTCTGATTGGTTCACCGAATATCCTTTGATATGTCCATTACGTAATGCTACTTGTAGCAGTATCATAAATTTATTAGAGAATGAAGTATTCTTAGTATATGGCACACCACAGCAGATTGTGTGTGATAATGGTAAACAGCTAGTAAGTAAAGCTATTAAAAAACTTGTGCAGGATTATGGGTCAAATTTTAGATATACTCCATACTATCATCCCCAGGCAAACTATGTCGAACGATCAAATCGTACAATTTGCACGGCTATAAGATGTTATGTTAACGGTAACCATAAATCGTGGGATAAAGAATTACCTAAAATTGCATACTCTATGAGGACCGCCAATAACGAGATAACAGGCTATAGCCCAGCATTTCCTAATTTTGGACGTGAAGTTCCATGCTCAGGGAAGTACTATGGGGATGGTAATGTGGATATTTTTGATTTAGGTGATAGAGAAAGATGGGTTCAAAATGTAGGCAATTTATCTGATATTTTCAAAGATGTCTAATCTAAACTAACCTCTGCATATCAAAGGAATGCAAGGTATTATAATTTGCGTAGAAGGGACATGGAATCCTTAGTGGGTGGTAGAGTATGGAAAAGGAATTACGTTCTTTCTGATGCTGCAAACAATTCTGCTAAAAAGTTAGCGCCGCGTTACGTTCTTTGCACTGTAGCGAAGAAAAAATCGAAACTTGTATATGTACTCAAGAATGAGGACGGTACAAATGCAGGAGTATGGCACATACAGGATTTAAAACTTTATGATGGGTCTGAATTTTCTTCGGTCGATACTGATGATGAGTTAGAAGAAAATAGTCGAAACGACGTTTGATCCAAGGGTTATCTGTTGCCGGGAAGCACCTTCCAGGGGGTTTTGTAAATAGTAGGGTAGGAGTAATGTTAGGATCTCATCATTAGGAATAGTGTTGGGTGAGGCCTAGGTTAGTTTTCATCATTCAAATCGAGCTCGATACTCATCTCACTATACATAAAATATAACTGTACTAGGATTATCTCCAATTAAAATAGACATGCACGTGCATGCCTATTTTTTTCGTCGGAAGGGGGTGAATGTAACATGTGATTTTCCTTTTTTACCTTTATTATATGGGTTTGTTATTAAGTTAACCAAGAGTGACACCCAGTATATTATGATGATTTAAGATACTCAATAGATTATGTGACTGCAACACTTTACATTTTGTTATGGCAGGTGGATTGAATATCCTGTTGGCGTTGGACCTCTTGTAAGCTGGACTTGAAGATTCCTTTGTCTTCCTAGTGTGACTGTCTATTAATTTCAGGGTTGTATTTTTCAGGTGTCCATAGCAGTGATGTTGATCTGTCCTTCTTCCTAGCTGTAATGATAAACGATTTACATTTCTAGTTGCTGTTGACTGATTGAATGGATAGAAGTTGAAATGCACAGTTTGACAAACCTGTTGGAAATTAATATGTCCTTGCTGTTTTCAATTTGATTATGGACCCACAGGAAGTTATATTTGAAGCAGTTGTAATTTTTTATATTCATATTTCAGTTTCAGTCTGACAAATTAATTGGTTATGTGGACTGTTTGGTTATTTCGCTTCGTCCATAGCCTTTGTGAATTTATAACCTTCTTCTTTTAATTTCGGCCTGCTGGCAATATTTTTGGTTAGACCAATGTTACTATAGTTCTGTGTCAGACCTAACTCCACAATTCTTTAAAAACGGGCAAAGGCCCATTAGGACATTTTCCTTAAATAATCTAGGTATTTCAAGATTCTCTGTTGGTAATATTTATCAACTTGTCAAGATTCCAACTGTACTTGCGCAGTGAATTATTTCTAATTCGAAACATGTTTTTATAAACGGTTTTGTTTTCTGAGTGCACAGGAAATTCTTGAAATTTCTTGATTTCCTTCTTCTCTACCGAGAGTAGGCAAGATGGGCACGAATTTTGCCATTTTCCATCCAACCTTTGTGGGGTTTGATACCCTTATTTTCGGCCATTCCAGACGGAAGGTGAGCATTTTTAGAGTCCATAAACCTATTCAATGGTTTCAATTTGGTATATTTCCAACAGATTTATTGGCCTGTTCATGGTGGATGTCCTGGTGGGACGCCATCATCATAGCGTGCTAGCCTGTTGCTAGTATAGCCTCCTGATAATTTTGGAACTTTCCTCTTGATCCACAAGGTGACTAGAAAGTCTCAACTTCATTTTTGAGGCTATTCTCTTGATCCCACCTTGTTGTGCCGTCCACGATGTTGAAGGGTGACTAGGAAGTCCAGGAAACCTTTTTTTCTAACTGCACCGGCTAGATTTTGGAGTTGGAGTTCACTGGCAGTGAAGGACAGAGCAGCACCACATGCTCAGCAGACACTAAGGTCAGATCAATTTTGATTATACTTTTGTTCCTGATGATCCAGTAGTGCGCAGGGGAACACACAAATCACCAGAATGTAAAGTCGCAGATCCGTAATCCATCAGAATATACATTTTCAAACCAGTAACTTAACAGAACAATATTTTATAGGAATCGTATTTATCTCTACTGTAGATGCACAGAACCGCAATCCCTCAAACCGTATTTTGTATACTGTACATGAGCATACCAGACAATAACAGATTGCAAATGCGCAGATGTGTATTCTTCTATAATAGCAATATCGCAGATCCGCAAATATACAGAATCGAAAACTAACAAACCAACATCACAGCGGAATGATATTTCGTCAGAATCATAACAACACAGACCGTAATTCGTCAGAATCACAGAATGACAGACCGCACATTAGCAGACCGTACTTTGTCAGAATCGAAATATAACAGACCGTTTATCGACAGAATAGTAAAATGTCAGAACCGTACATTGACAGAATAGTAAAATGTCAGAACCGTACATTGACAGAGTAGCAAAAAATCAGAACAGCATATTCACAGAATCTCAAAATATCAGAACTGTAAATTGAAAGAATCGTAAAATGCTAAAACCGTACATCGACAGACTCGTAATACAACAGACCGTATTCCATCAGAATTATATTATATCAGAACGTGCAATGACAGAATGTACTTCATCAGACTGTAATGTCATATACTGTATTGTGATAGAATCGTAAACTATCAGAACCGTAATTCAGCAGAATAGTTAAATGTAAGATCCGTAAAATTACAGAATCGTAAAAATTCAGAACCGTACATCGACAGAATCGTGAAATATAGGAACTGTACGTCAGCAGAACCGTAAAAAATCAAAACCGTACATTGGCAGAATCGGAATTCATCAGAATGTAATGCAGCAGAACCGTAAAATGACAGACTGCAGAGAGGCCTACCAGCCACGCGCAGAGCGAACGCCGGTCACAGTGTTGCCTGCTCTCACGTCATGTGGGGATTCTACGTATACTTTCAGTTCGACCTGCTTTCATGTTCCTATTGCTCTTGTTCACTCGAGAATAAGATCGTTCATATGATATGAAGTGATGGATGACCACATTTCAATATGAAATATATGAACGTCACCCAACTTTTTTGCTATATGGAGAAGAAAGTGTTTATTTGAAGTATTTTCTTAAAAACTACAATTTCTTGGAGTAAGTTAAGAGAAGGGTTCGAGAAATAGGTGTTTGAGATGTTACAAGTGTTTGGGATCACACGTTGAAAGGTAAGGCCCCCGTCATTCCTTGCTCGCACAAGACTTTCGAAGACTTCTGAGGGTTGCTCGTAAAGGGGCAACCGAATGACGGATAGAACAATTCTACAATTTTTTTTTTACAACAAACTTTGGAATTTTCAAAGTTTGATTATAGATACAAGATATTGGATGTTCTTTATATGACTCTATGTCATACCCAAATTCATTCATTTTGCATTTTGTACCCATATTTCTAGAAAAAGGATGGAGGTGATACGAAACTAGATTGAAATCGAAGTTCAGCTACGGAATTTAGTTTCGAGAATTCTTTATTAACGATAATTAGTGCGGTGCTGTAGATAGGGGTTGATGAAAAAATGCTTATACATACATACATACATACATACATATGGAAGCCATTGAATAAACGTTTTTGTAAAACTCACTATGGAAACTATTAAATAAACGTTTTTGTGAATCCCACGTGTCATGGGATACTCTTCAGGGTAATCCAAGTTGAGTGTCAGCAGCCATCGATGACTTTGTTATTATTGATGATAGAAAATTGTTCAAGGAACCAAACCTTTAGCCTTTATGTCAGAAGAAAATATCAACAGAGGAACTAAAATATGAGAAAAAAACATTGAAAGAGAATGCCAATTCTCAATTTCAGATAATTTTTATTTTCATGTTCCCTTCTGGATGTTGAACAGATCTAAATAAATCAATATTCGACGTGGCAAATGATCAGAGAAGTAGGTAGTTGTTTTCTGTTGTATATTCAGAATGATATTATATGCATATATATTTTTATTTGAAGGAGAATGCAAATTCTCAACTTCAGAAGAGTTCATCTTCAAATTATCATCGTATCATTCAAAAGATATAATTAAATGTTCTTCGTAACATATAGCCAGGAAGCGATTTTACTAAATATACTGCACGCTAATACAAACCACGCCCACCATAATACGTCATATCTCCAAACATTACCGATATACTCGGAGTCAGCACATCGCACTAAATATACTGTGCCCGAACGCAAGAATACACTTTTTATGATTTTGACAAAAATTCGACTGAAGTTCTCTCGTTGTCAATCTCTTGTACGCAGTTAATTCATACACTCAAATGGTCTACTGGTTAGCGCTGTCGACTTTCAGTCTGAAGGTTCATGGTTCGAATCGCTGTGAACTTGAACTTTTTTTTTGGAATTTTTTTGTTTTTTTACTTCATTCTGGTTTTCCTTTTTCATAAAATATTTGAAGTCAAATAGGTTAGTGCGTTTAGGATAAACAGTCTCATTTTTTTCAATATTGTTGAATAAGAACTCAACTTTTGGAATATATTATTAATCAATGTGTTTCTACACTCCATTCCGTTTTCCTTCCACAAATATTGCAATCAGGGAAAGGTTAGTTCGTTAAGGATAAATAGTTTCTGAATTTTGCCTAACTACTTCGAAGATGAGATATTACGGTCGGCGTGGTTTGTGCTAGCGTACAGTATATTTAGTAAAATCGCAGCCAGAAAAGTAGTTGTTTTCTGTTGAATATACTGAGAAAGAATTGATAATTTCATCACATACAGAATGCGAATTCTCTTTGTATTTCTTTATATCTGAATGAACAGGTGCGGAAAAGTATGACTTTCGACATTTGTTAGGTAAACTACATTTTCGTCTAAACTCGACAATGCGAAGATCAATTATTGTTTTATTGATTGTTCTATCCCAGATTCACAGAGGCTGTTCAAGAAACTGCTTAGGAACTATAGTGATGGGTTCAGTTTTGACGAGTGGATATGGTCAATATCATGGAAAATTAGTCTTCAAGTTCTGAATGGTTGGAGATGACATTTCGAGAATTACACAGATTAATATTAGCTTTGAGTATTCACACTCAGTTTTCATTCGTAGGTTACCCGATGTCATCTTCGAATTTTGTCCGCCCTATATCCTATTTTTATCTGATGGCGCCTATGGTCCAAGGTCACCTGATATATTAAAGAAAATTATGTTGGAGTAGTTGCTGTTTCCAAAAATGTTGTATCTTTGATGATTACGGAGTTCACATAGTCGATATATAAACATCAAACTAATTCACCTAGTTGGTGATGCCACACTCACTTACTCCTTGACATCATTGAAACAACGGCGACCTCTCACTTGTTCATGAAAACTTCTACGGAAAATCTTCTTCAAACGTTCGATTATCATTCTATCACTAGCAATACCATGCAGACAGACGAACTCGACAAAAAGCTTAGAACAGCACATCTATTTGTAGTCTACCTCGATATTTGTCGAAGAACTCTATCAAAACTTCTTTGAAGTATTCCCAAAAACTACCAAAAGTTTTAATAAATTGGGATATTGCCTTTCGTGAGACCAACAAAAATTTGCACTTTCTGCCCCAAATCATCAATCTGAACGGTACACATAATATGTACCACAGATGCTGCAAAAATTCTGAGTCACTTTATTCGTTTCAAGCAAGCAGAAAATACACCAATCCGATATTATAAGGTTATGTTCTCGATAATTATTAATGGGACTGTGAAGACAAGCAAAACAGCAGATCTCTTGCGAAAAGTCTTCTATTTATCGAGTAACCCAATCATGGAGTATAACTTGATGAAACCTTGAAATTATATTATATGCATCGTTCTTACATGTGTTCTGAAGATTTACGATACTCTCCATTGGTCGAGAGAAAAAATATTGGGATGAATGTCAAAAAAATTTAATTTCTTGTTTTCTCTAATTAGGTTGATATATTACAACTATGATAGGAGATAGGAAAATGAGTTTTTTTCCATATTATAGAGAAAACATTCGACTACATTTTGATATAGGTATATTTATTTTTTGAAATTTGGGAATATGTTAAAAATTTAAAAGAATAAGAGGATAACACTTTTTCATCACATTTCAGTTTACTTCAACACCCAATAAATTGCTTATTCGACCAATGAACGATACTTTTTTTTCACATCAAAAACTGCGGAAATTCATAACGATCATTTCGTATCAATTATATGAAGATCTATCTTGAACAGATTTCTCGATATAAGCGTTCTACTGTAAGTACACCTGTAACTACCGCCCGCTACCCGGTATGCGAGACGATGTTTCCAGGAAATACCACCGACTATAAGTTATACCCCATGATTGGGTTATTGAACGATAGACCGCACCTTGACCGCACAGTCTGCCGTACTTAAACAGGGCACAATAATTAAACATCAGGGACATTTTTTGTCATCATCATCCACATATATAATGAGAAATTACGACATCGCCCCATGGTCGAGAGGACAGGTTCACCAAAATACGCACTGTTAGTTTCTGGAAAACTGTCAGTCGTTTCAAAATGTCAAACTTCACTGATGATCGAATTGGCTATGAGGAGTCAGGGAAGAATAGTAAAATAAATCCAGAGTTTATGTTCAGAAGAATTACAAGTGCAGCTCAGTTCCAAGATTCAGATTTCACTAATATTTTACCCTACGAACTCATACCAGTCCCACTCTCTCTTCTTCATGAAGATAGGACTATGAGAAAAACATCTTGCCAAGAAGTTATATCTACATTGTAACATATTGGCGGATACTTGTTCAACGACTAGTTTCTATTTTATAGATGGAATGGTCATTCTGAATGAAGTGAATGAGAAATCTTTCAAGACTCTCAACGATTTGGCACAGAAGAAACTTCAAAGAATGCTTTTCATTTTCAAAAAATATTCTCGCTGTGATTCAGTTTTTCTGGTTTTCGATAGATATGATATCAAGGATTCCATAAAAGACATGGAGAGACGTGGACATCATAATCTAGGAATATTCAGTATTACAGGAAGTCGACCAGTGCCAAACTACAGGAATTTTCTGAAATCAACACCAAATAAAATGGCACTCATAAGATTTTTGAGCCAGTATTTGATGGATTCCTTCAAGAGGCTACCAGGAGGAAAGTTTCTTTTCATTGCTGGAGGATCGAAAGATGCCGAATCATGTTTTAAGGTTGGTCACGCGAACTAGATGGGTGTATGTACCTATATTTTCATAATTGAATTTTCTAGCATGATTTTACCTCTGGATGCCATCATTCTCACATATGAAGTTATTAAACTAGAGGGTTTTTGTTCTTCAACTTCACAACTGATTATTTGGCGCGAAATGGTAACAACACTTGGAAGTGACTACGTAGTATCAACAATGCGGAGGTTATAGTGCATTGCTCGTACATATTTTTGTGCGATGACAGCGTCAACTATATACGCGGGAACTAAAATCGGGAGTTGCAGATAGAATAGAATAGAATAGAATAGAATAGAATAGAATACATTTATTGCTTCAAAAATATACATTTTATAGCAAGGGTTCGAAAGTACAGGTGCAAACATATATGAATATTGAACATAACTAGATGCAAAAAAGATATTGAAGATATTGAAAATTACATATAAAAAAAAATACATACAATACTAATGGTTAACAAGTGAGAAGATTGATCAAAGTAAATGTGGTACATAATAGTGAGAGAAAACTCATTCATTCATCACGAAAGAACGGAAATGGTAACAACACTTGGAAGTGACTACGTAGTTTCAACAATGCGGAGGTTATAGTGCATTGCTCGTACATATTTTTGTGCGATGACAGCGTCAACTATATACGCGGGAACTAAAATCGGGAGTTGCAGATACAGAGGGGTCTAAGTGACTTCCACAGGAATTTTTGCTATATGGAAGGTAACCCCCCGTACATTCAGTATCTGAAATCAGCCATGAGAAACGTTGTGACTTCCGTTTTCGGAAGTCACAACCCCAAAATTTGAAGACCAAACATCCAGGAAGAAATTGCCAACTTCACGCCTGCTATTCTGGCATTAGGATAGTCACTACAAACGCAAGAAATCGGTTCACTCCTTGTATGGAAAAAATGGGGGACGTCACCTATCTGATTATTTGATCTTCAAAAATATGTAAGACAAAACTCTAGGTATGCGCCTACATTATGGAAAAAATTGTTGTTTTTTAATTTCTACCTGAAATAACTATTTCTTTTCAGCTACGTTACTAGAAAGAAACTGAGAAGTACGACGTACGACTCATTAAAGCATTATATATAGTCATAATAGTTATTTATGTAATAAGGATCATAAAGACGATCATTATGGTACAAGTCGTGAATAATATCGGGCGAGGCGTAGCCGAGTCCGATAACACGGCGTGTGCCATAATGATTGTTTATGATTTGTATCACATACAAAATTTTATCTGATGGCATTTTTATCAATACATTTTCGAAAAATTAAAAACTGCATTTTCGACATGTCACAATGACAATTTTTTTTAAAGGAGTAAGTATTGTGTAGTTTCAAATATTAGTAGGTGAGTGAGCTGTGCTTTGCCATTTTATTAATATTACAAATTGTAGTAATTGTTCTTTTACCATTTATAATAAATAGTTTTGTACATAGTTATGCATTTTGAATAAACTTTTTTGAACAAACCATTACATGTTTTCCTTATAGAATTTCATTAGGGTACTCAGTACCATATTGAAATTCATTATGGTACTTAGTCCCATAATGAGCTTCCTTATGTCATCAAAATTGAGTGACATAACGTTGTCATTATGACATGCCATCAGATAAAATGTATTTGTGATACTCTGCTATCCAAAGTGAGGGAACAGTTTGATTCAGCTCATATGAAGTTTATGCGCTTTTTAACAAAATTTGAAGAAAAATTCAAGAGATTGATTATTAAAAAAATTTTGAATTGGTGTAACAAATATGATGGAAGAAGAAACTAACACAACCCGTCGTAGAGCTGTACAACACATCACTGAATAAAACGTGTAGAATGACTTCCTGATCAGGTGATGAATATTCAATGGAGATGAACTGTATTCAAAGTAGAAATCCTATACGTCGTTCGTCATATTCAATCGTTCTCGATGAGTTTTTGCGAAAACACTTCAACTCCTTGTATCCCAAGAACTGAACACTTCACGATCCATGTCCATACCTTAGTCATATAAAATATAAATATAAAAATCTATATCACTATCAGAGTTCATGCCTCCAAAATCATACCCGAGAAGAAAATTAGTGCGCCACTAGTTTCTGAGTGAAATTTTCTATGAGATAAAGTTTCAATTTGGCATTAGCGCATTTATCGCTGAGGAACTTCGTAGATATATAGGTAGTCCAAGAAGTGTGAATTCGAAATGTACAGTCCTTTCTACGTAACCAGTAGTTAGGAAACGCGTCAGTTTGTTTGACGACGGGATTATGCGGGACGAACGAACGTATTACGTGTAATTTTTCATCTAATTTTGCTAGAAATTTTCGCTCGAACAGATAATATAATGACCATCATTTCTACATGAATTCTACCGATTATGTACAAAAATTGAGTATAGGCAAGTCGACTCCGCCCATCACTTCGAAGTATCCGTCATAAAATAATATGGTCGCAAATTAGTGACCAAATTCACGGAAAAGACTCGTTCGATACTTCCATCAGTGGAAAATGGCTGATTCAAGTTCAGTTTTTCCAACCGATATTGAGAACGCAGCTTGAAATGCATTATTCTTTTCGTCCAACCACATATTCAATAACGTAACTGGTGCTGTGGTGAATAATATTTCATCACCAGTTAAACCAGTTATGTTATATTTCACTTTACACCACAGGTTATACGGAAAGTGAGAAGTTTCAATATTTCCGTAGTTTTGAAAAGTTCCACATCACATGTCAAATTAAATAAAAAAGAATTTCGCGCAAAACTCAATATTTCCAAGGGATATCCTGAAACAGGTTGATTTTCATTCTCAATTTCCACATTTATAATAGACAATTTCTCGAATGGAACATCCTATCAACTATTGAATTCTCGAAATCTTCATGGAAAGCTGAATTCAGGGTGTTCTATTGCAAAAAAACACAAAGCTAATAGCCTACCCGAAAAAACGAATGACACTGTATATAAAACAACTACACAAAATAAAAGTTTGGGTGGTTTCAAACAACTTTTTCATTTAACATTCCTCGATATTCCTATAAAAACAACATAATCACCTCTTTATACTGAACTTTCTTTGAATAAAGTACCATTCCTATTTCACATTCTTGGGGGAATTTAAGACTAAGAAAATTGTTTGAAATGATGACTTAATAAAAACAAATTATCATAGGGATTTCCTTTCGTGCGCTTCAAGCGTTGAAAAATATGTTCCATCAATAACTAATCCAAGTGCTTCGTAAATTTTTTAATTTTATAAGGATGCTTGCCAAAAATTCGACGGATGACGTCACAATGTGTCCATGATGATTGCAGACAAAAATGTTCCTGCATGATCCGCCATTTTGAAAACAAATGTCATTTGAAAGGTATTTTTTCGCTCTATCGACTTACGTAAAATTATTCATACAGAGTGCCATTTGAATTTCAGTAAAATTTTGGGGCAAATCCTCTGTACTTGTACAGTGTGCAACATATGGAAATTTTTTTGATGAATTGCACAACCAAAATACAGATAGTGCGAAAGGTTGGTGCATGTTCGGTAATCATTTAAGGTGCACTTAGAATCGTTGCAAGTCAAACAGCATACAGGGTAGGTCAAAAAATATAAAAAATGCTCAGGAGTAAAGTACCTCTCCTTATTTCAGAAAATTCAGCAAACTGTTATGGAAAAAAGTTCTTTACAATTGGAAGTTTTTCCTGAATACCAAAACATAGCCTCCTAAGACATATTTTAGTGTTTCGTTTTGTTCCATTAATAACTTCCCAATTTGTATTTTTTTTATATTCACCCCAAACACTTTCATAATTTGATCATAACAAAATCAGTTGATCATATTTTTGTTCAAATTAATGCACTTTTGTGCAATCAACTTGGATTTTATTTTTTAGGGAATCACAAACTTGATGTTTGTTGCAACGATATACAGCTTAATTTTGAGATTTCGCAAACCTTAGTTTCAACAAGGTAAAACATCATTAGATAAGGAGTATGTCACCAAACTGCCTCAATATTTACTGTCAACCCTCATTTGTTCTGTCGTTCCTTGGTTGTCCGTGATTTTTCAAAAGATATCATGGTTGTCGATCAATTTGTTCAGCTTTTTCATAAACATTTCAAATACAAAATGTTCACATTAAATGAAGGTTTTTGAATATGCGTATTATCATTAATGATGTTTTACCTTGTTGAAAATAGGGTTGGCAAAATTTCAAAGTTGAGCTGAATATCGTTGCAACAAACATGAAGTTTGTGATTTCCTAAAAAAATTGAAATCCAAGTTGAATGCAAAAATATGCTTGAATTTGAAAAAAAAATTAGAATTTATTAACGAAAGGATTTGAAGAACTGGAGAATGTCTTAGGAAGCCATGTTTTGGTATTTAGGTATGAATTTTAATTGTGAACAACTTTTCTCAATAACATTCTGCTGAATATTTTGAAATACGGGTACTTTACTCTTGAGCACTTTTTATATCTTTTTACCTACCCTGTATGCTGTTTGACTTGCAACTATTCTGAGTGCACCTGAAATGATGATCGAACATGCACCAACTCTTGGCACTGTCTGTATTTTGGTTGTGCAATTCATTAAGAAGATTCCCATATGTTGCACACTTAAATGACCACACTGTTTATTGAAATTATGCTCATATTATTATTTTGTAGAAGCGAGGAGGGAAAATCCCAAATAATCAAGTAAAATGTATGTAACACCTCCTCGATCAACCAACAGGTTGTCATTGCTTGAGATTTGACATTTCATGAATGAAGTCATTATGATATCCGAAACGCAAATGAAATTGATCACATACAAAGTACCTCATTGATCACATACAAAGTACCCCATTGACGAACGGAACATTTTGGTATATGAACGAATTGGGTCCAATCAACTTATTTTGACCTCTACTTCAAGTAGAGCAATTTTGGGACACCCTGTATATAATCTTTAACTGAAGTCATGTGAGGGATTTAAGCACAATTGACAATAAGAAATCACT